TGTGTGACTCAAACATAAGTGTTAGCAGAGAAATGTTTGCATGTATATGTAAACATATGTATGTATGCTGGAAAAGGCAATTGTGGAAAAATATCATGAGACGGTGTACACCTTGAAGGAAAGAGCCAAGAAAGACAAAGACAGTCTCCAAATTCCTCTCTTGTTCTATTTTACATCAATTGGCTTCTTGATATAATACAGAAACCCTAAGGTATAGTTAAACAACGTGCTTGGATTTTAGGGGAGAAAAGCCAAATCCAACTCTAAATCCAGCATTGATTTACTTGAATAGGGACTAGGAAATAAAGAGAAATAGAGTTATTGAGAGACAGCTGTAAAGTTTACCATATGGCATGCTCCTTTTGTTTGATGGTTATACCTACCTTGTCTTCTTAAGTATCTACCCATGTAGTGTTCTTGGATTTCTGGAAATGAGTTTTCCTGTGAAGATAGAAACAAAACACTTCCCTTTCCTTTGGGAGGTTTCTATTTAGTTTATGAGATATACCTCAGTAAATACCTGTCACTTGTCCTTGTCGAAAGGTTTGTCTTTTTGACGTGGTCAGGCACACCTGTAACAAGCCTCTAACAGGCGTGGCTTACTATCCCCCACAAATATGTAATTTAAAAATTAAATAGATATACCTATAGACATTACACTATACAGGGCAGGCACATCACAGATGTCACATACACTTAAATGATGTGGGAGCGGGTCCCCAGATTGTGTGCAAGTGGCATGGACTGATACTACTGGGCCAGGTAATAGTTTGGCATGTTGTCAGAACAGTTGAGTTAACCTTGGGGCATGATGTTCTCTATATGCCTGCCTTGGTGCTCAGCAGTCTCTATCTTCTTAAAACTGAACCACATGGGCTGGCGAGATGTCTCAACTGGTAAAGGTATTTGCTGTCAAGTGTTTGGTGACAACTCAAGTTCAATCCCCAGGTCCTACACAATGGAAGGTGAGAACTAACTCCCTTTAAATTGTGCTCTACCTCTTTACCACAGCATGCATGCAGCCATCTACACAAATGAATGTCTTAAAAAAAAAAAAAAACCAAAATCTAAAAAACCCTTAGTCCCAGGAGTGCCCATGACCCTAAAATCTAGGCAGGACTCTGACTTCACCTTGCTTCAGCAAGGATCCTGTTCCCTGTTTCTTGAAGATGGCCCTAGGTATTCTGCCTAAAAGGCACTGTCAGTGGTCAGGGCTCCAAGGAGAGAATGCAGAAAAATAGGAGGGAGCCCAGAGCAGTCCCTTCCCCCTCCATCACTCCCAGAACAGTTGAAGCTGTAACCCTTGGAGACACCAAGAATCCTGCATGCACACAGACCCTGGACCTACAAACTGGAATCCAGATCCTTTGGCCCCATGTTCTGGGGAGGCTGTGCTGAGGCTCTGCCTGTCAGGAGATGTGGCAGGAGGAGGAGGATTCTGGTGTCAACACTAGGCACCCCTTCTGCTGAATCCTGTAGACACCAGTCTAGAAACCTAGCCACTGCTGTTGCCTGGAAACTCCCGCTCCTTGGTACACCTTCCTTGGCTGTTCACCTGCTCTGCTACCTGCTCATCCAGCAGGGTTCCACCGTTCCTTTCTTTATACAGAGACAGGGTTTCTCTGTGCAACAGTCCTGGCTGCCCTGGAACTCACTCTATAGACCAGGATGGCCTTGAACTCAGAGATCTGCCTGCTTCTGCCTCTTGAGTGCTGGGATTAAAGGCATGCACCACCATGCCCAGTACCAGAAGTTTCTTTTGTGTGATGCACACAACTATTAGTGTGGGCATGTGCATGGTGAGCTTGAGGGCAGATTCTGACAGCGGCCTGTCATTCTTGGTGAGCCTTCACTTTATTTTTGGAGACAGGGTTCTCTCTGAATCCAGGGCTCACTGATGTGGCTCTGGTGGCTGGCCAGAACTCCAGAGATCTGCCTGCCTCTACCACCCCAGTGCTGGGGCTAGGCACGGTTTTAGCATAGTGCCAGGGACCTGAACTCAGGTCAAGTACTTCACTGACAGCCACCTTCTGAGCTCTCTGTTTCTTGTACTATGAAGGAGCTCTCAACCACAGCTTGCTGCCCAGGTTCATGAGGCCAAATTGAGGTGTTGGGTCGGGGCGACTTGGTTCAGGTCTCTTGTCACCCCTGAGAACCTCTAAGGGCACATGGCGCTGGTACTCTGTGTGCCCATCCTGTCACCACCTCAAGCATCCCACAGAGTCCTTACCACAGAGGAGACATTAGAAAATGGAAAATGTCTCCTCTGTGACCATCACTCTTTCCCAGTGGCACAAAGCACCCAGGACAGCTGAGGCCTCAGTCCAGAATCTGGACTTACAAGGAATTTAAATAAAATTGTGGATGTGAAGCCAAGCTTCCTGGGTTCAAGTCCCTGTGTGCATGGAAGGCGGCAGGAGTTGGGCATCAGCCTTTCCTCTTAGGTCTGCACTTGTGTAGCCACCTGCTTCACAGGGTGGCTGCCAGCACACAGCAAGAGATCCAATGTAGGTGCCAACCTTTGAGTGTCACTTCCTTTGGGTCACCTGTCGAGGTGAGTATACAAGCTTGGCAGAGGCTGGCTAGAGGTCAACCTCAGGTGGTATTCCTCAGCCAACTTTTCTATTTTTATGTTGGGCTCAGTGGTTGAGAGCACTTTCCTCTCTTTTAGAGGACCCAAGTTCAGCTCCCAGCACCCATGTCTAACAGCTCATGTAACTGCAACTCCCTTTTCTGATCTCCAGGGACACCCTGATGTGTGCTCATGCAACACACACACACACACACTAATGAAACTTAGGGCTGGAGAATTAGCTCAGCAGTTAAAAGCACTCATTGTTTTCAGGAGATGTGGGGTTTGGGTCCCAGCACCCATGTGGCAGTGCACAACTCTCTGTAACTCCAGTTCTAGGAGATCCAGGTCTCTTTCGGTCTCCTCAACACTACATCCATGTGGTGTACAGACACCCTGCAAAACGCTCATACACATAAAATCTTTAAAAATGTGTAGAAAAGCTGAGCTGTGGTGGTGGACACCTTTAATCCCAGCACTCGGGAGGCAGAGGCAGGTAGATTTCTGTGAGTTCAAGGCCAGTCTGCTCTACGGAGTTCCAGGACAGCCATGGCCTCAAAGTGTAAAATATCTTAACTATGTATTTAGTGTGTAGGTGCCACCGAGCAGGTGTGTGGTCACAGGACACCTGGGAGTCAGTGCTTTATTGACACTGTGTGTGTGTGTAGTGGGGGGCATGAGAAGAGAACTTAAACTATCAGGCTTACACAGCAAACCTTTTGCCAGCTGAATAGCTTGTCAGGCAGTTTTTGTACTTGAGAATAATTTTGACATTACTATGTGTGTGATGGGTGCGGTGTGGGGCTGTGTGCCACAGGGCGAATGTGGAGGTCAGAGGACAACTTCAGGAGTCAGTTCTCTCCCTCACCATGAGGGTGCTAGGGACTGACTCTGGGCATCAGGCCTGTGAGCAGAGACGTCTGGCTTTTTTTGGTTGTTTGGTTTTTGAGACCAGGTCTCACTATGTAGCCTTGGCTGGCCCAGAACTCAGAGCTCTTCCACCCTCTCCCTCCTGAGTGCTGAAGACACAGTTCAGTGGTTCAGAGCACTTGCTGTTCTTGCAGAGGACCTGAGTTCTGGTCTTAGCATTCACATCAAGTGACTCAGAATCCTCTAATTCTCAGCTCCAGGAGAAACAAACAAAGCCTCTGCCTCTTCAGGCCCTCACTCAAATGCACAATGCCACAACAGACACACCTGCCCACATGTAATTAGAATAAAAAACAAATCTTTGAAAATGTGTGCTACCATGCCCAGCCTAATCATGCTTTTTGAGACAGGGTTTCTCACTGGCCTGGAACTAGCAAATTAGGCTAGGCTGTGTGGTGGCAAGCCCCAGGGATCTGCTTGTGTCTGCCTCTTCTGCACTGGGAGTTCAAGTGTACACAGCCATCCCAGCCTTTTCATCAGGGTTCTGGGGATCAAGCCAAGGCCCACATGTTTGTGTAGCAAAGACTTTACTGACTGAACTATCTCCCCAGCTGTCTATGGTTTTCACTCTGACTGCCGTAAACACAATGTCAAATGTCTGTCTGTCTACTATGCACCCAGACTGCTCCAATTATTCAATTATTGTTATTATTGTTTATTTTTTGACAGAGGGTTTCTCTGTGTATACCTGGCTGTCCTGGAACTCGCTCTGTGGACCAGGCTGGTCTCAAACTGATAAGAGACCCACGTGCCTCTACCTTCCAAGTGCTGAGATTAAGGACGTGCACCACTGACCAGACAATTATGGTTTTTTTTAAGATTTTATTTATTTATTATGTATACAACATTCTGCTTTCATGTATATATGCACACCAGAAAAGGGCACCAGATCTCATAACGGATGGTTGTGAGGCACCATGTGGTTGCTGGGAATTGAACTCAGGACCTCTGGAAGAGCAGTTGGATGCTCTTAACCTCTGAGCCATCTCTCCAGCCCCAGACAATTATGTTTAAAGTGTTATACTCCAGTAATTCTGTCACTTAAAAGGCTGAGACAGAGGATGAATTTGAGATGATCTTGGGCTGAACAACTTGTCTTAAACACTACCACTCTTTGGTGGGGTGGCATACACCTTTCATCCCAGCACTTGGAGCAGAGGCAAGTATACCTTCGAGCATGAGGCCAGAAAGCCCTGGGTTTAATCCCTAATACCAAATGAACTATGTAGGATTGACTACCTGGGAGACAAAGGTCGGTGGGGGGTTGAGAGGGATGATGAGGAATTCAAGGCCACTCTCAGATTCATAGCAAGTTCAAAGTCAGCCAGGTATATAATACCCCACTCCCAACCACTACTAACCCTGCCCTCACGAAGAAAACAATAGAAAAATAGTTTGAAAACCTGACCAAAACATATCCATAGGGCCACTAAGAACTCTTCTGAATGCCTTAGTCTCAAATCCTAGTTTCCCTTTTAACCCAAGAAAGCACAAATAGTCAGGGATCCGCACTGGCTGCTTTATTGACAGGCTTGTGAGTTCCTGAACCAGCCCCTACCTTTTCTACAAAAGCAAAGGAAGAGGAAAACGGGTTCCCAGGCAAAGCCCAGCAAAGGACCTTGACTCCGAGGCCACAAGCACAAGGAGGTAGGAAGGACAGGGGGTCCAGGTCCTCAAGGACCATGTGCTGGTGAGGTGGCTGAGGAGACTGGTGGTCCCACAGCTATTCTTTGCAGGGATGTCAGGAAACGGTCACCAGAGGAGCCAGAAACCTTGGGTAAAGGGTTGGGGGCTGAAGAAGGGAGCAACTCGAAGGCTTTCAGAGTCATTTGAGGCCACCCTGAGCAGCATGGTGAGACCCAGCAACCCCTCACCTCCAGCCTACCACAAGCAGTCAGGGTCACTGTTACAGCCACCTCCGCAGCCCCACACACATCCACTCATTCGAATCCAGTCCATACACGGAGGGAGGGCTGTCATTGCCCTGGAATGTCTCTGGACTGGTACCCGGGTCAGTACTGCTGAGGGGGCAGTTCCTTGATATTGCTACTGATTAGCTGCTTCACAGGCGTCTATCCAATCGCTGTACACATCCACTGGTTCTGACAGATCTGCAACACAGAGTCAAGGATGATTTCTAGCAATGAAGCCCTCTCCTGGGCACATTTATGCTATTTATGACAGGGTCAATTGGACCCCTGCCATGTGCCTTGTCATTTAGTGTTAAGCCAGTAGACAAGGTAGCAGTGGCTCCATAACTGCCCACAGGAGCAGGGCAGCAGGAGGGACTGACAGTTCCTTGTCTTTGGTCACCAGTCCCTGAGCAGGTAAAGACAGTCCCAACTCCCACCCACTTCTCTCATTCTCTAGGAATCAGATGACTTTCCAAGGATACATGTGATGGGTGTCTGGAATTCCTCTAGGCACACGGTACAGGAGATAACTCCAGTGTTTCGAGCACGGTCCCTGCAATAGGACAAAGTGGAAGGATGCATGAGAAACGAACACTGAGCCTAAGAGGGCAACCCTGCCAGCAGGAAGCCCAGGGTGAGCAAGGCAGGAGAAACAGGCTTGGACGCCCATAGATGTGGGCTGGCGCACCCTAACCACCCGCTTACATTTTCACGTCACAGGACTTCTCGTGGTTGCAGAAGGGGCAAGTGAACTGGGTCTCCAGGGTGCCTGTCATCTTCTTCTTGGGGGGTGGCTTCCGTTTAGACTTCCTTCGTCCCATGGCTGCAGGGGGATGAAACCTGTGGGGCAGAGGAGGGGTCAGCTGCTGGCTACTCTCTACCTCCATCCTCTGGAAGCAGGCTTGAGGCGACCAGCAGTAGCCCATGGAGAAAGGAAGATGTGCACTATGACGTCCAGGCTTCTACCTGAGGAACTTAGGCTCCTGACCTTAGGCCCAACAGTCCCTGTGTACACTCTGGGCAGTATGGCTGAGAACAGCCTTTAACCTTGGTTTCTCAACTCACTGTGTGACTCCCGGTAGGTCACTTAAGATCCCTGTCCTCAGGGGAAGGTAGGGGTGGACAGGAGGCTTAAGAAAACACAGGACGGGGAGGGTATTCAACATAGTGACTGCATCCGGTGAAGGGGTGAGGAGTTAACTCCAAAGAGTGACTAAAGATGACGTCAAGGGCAGCAAGACGGCTTAGTGGGCAAAAGTGCCAACCATGCAACCTGATGACATGAGTCTAATTCTGGAAACCGACACAAAAGCCAGGCTCACATCCATAAGCCTGGCACTCTGATGTGGGGATGGGGCAGAAACAGGAGGACTGTTTGGGAGCTTGCTGGCTAGTCAGTTGCAACAGAATACGGAAGGTGAGGACAGACTTCCCAAAAACTTGTCCTCTGACCTCCACACACACAATGTAGGAGTGTATCTCCCCGGACACTGAATATAAAGTCTCAAGCAGCTCCCCCAACACCCCCCACCCCGCCCCACACACAAGAAAAAGGTTTTTCTTTTTCTTTCTGAGACAGGGTTTCTCTGTGACTAGGAGGCTGTCCTGGAACTAGCCCTTGTAGACCAGGCTCTCAAACTCAGAGATCTGCCTGCCTCTGCCTCCTGAGTGCTGGGATTAAAGGTGTGTACCATCAATGCCAGCAGGATTTTTTTTTTAGGGGATTGGAATGGGGTGGCAGTGAGACAGGGAAAACAAATCAACTGAACAAGTGACAGTCTAGCTTGGTGCCCAAAGCTGTGATGAGGACACAAAAGGTTGGGAGGTGTGGCACAGGCCTTTAATCCCAGCATTCTGGAGGCAGAGACAGGCGAATCTTTGTGAGTTTGAGATCAGTCTTCGGAGAGAGTTCTAGGACAGTCAGGGCTACAAAGAGAGATATTGTCTCAACCTGCCCCCTCACCAAAAAGCAAAAACAAACCAAACATGGACTCCATTCCCAACTATCACAGGATGACTTTGAATTCCTGACCCCCCCCCCCCAAAGTGCTCAGACTATAGGCATGAGCTGCCATGCCTGGTTTTCCACCTGACACAGTCATGGGTAATACTGACTATCAACTTCACAGAGTCTAGAATCACTTGTGAGAGTTAGAGCATGGGAGTCATCTTGTTTAGGTTATAATGAATGTGTAGAGATAAATATCCACCCTAAAGGAAGGCAGTGCCATTTCTTGGGCTGGGGACACAGACAGATGCCGGTGAGGTGGGGGAAGATGGGGGTGGGGCTAGCAGAGCACAAGAATTCACTTCCTTCTGCTTCCTCCTCAAGCTCTTTCCTCTCTGACAAACCTGCTGTGGAGCCTAAAGAAGCCCCTCCTGCCTTAAGTCGATTTTGTTAGTTATCACCACAGCAACCCCAAAAGTACCTAAGACACAACTCTAAGACACAAGACAGGCGGTTTGGAGAAATAACAGTGTCAGTGGAGGGACACTCAGGGGCAGATGGCGTGCCAGCAGATGGGCAGGGAAGCAGCAGCAGCAACCACTCATCTCTGCCTGGGAATGCACTCAGGGTCTGCCTTTGTAGTCACTTCCGTATGCACCATACCACGCCCACCAACTGTTTCTAGGCCAGACCCCCACCAGCCAGCTGGGGTACCAAAGAACTGAGAGGGCAGTTACACTATTTGTCTACCACTCACTGTAGCCTATCTGGTCTGGAACTCACTCTGTAACCCAGACAGAATTCTCAATGTAGACCAGAGAGATCTGTCTGCCTCTGCTTCCCAAGTGCTGGAATTAAAGGTGTGTGCCACCAGTGCCCTGGTCAGATATTTACATTACAATTCACAACAGTAGAAAAATTACAGCTAGGAAGTAGCAACAAAATAACTTTATGTTGGGGTCAGCACCACATAAGGAACTGTATTAAAGGGTTGCAGCATGAGAAAGGTTGAGAACCACTGCTCTAGGGGCTGTCATGCCCAACGAGTTGCTTCTCAAGATTCAGTTAATGGGAGCTTCAGTGAGCTGCATTGTCTCATTTAGAAATCCTAGCACCATAGCCGGGCGGTGGTGGCACACACTTTTAATCCCAGCACTCGGGAGGCAGAGGCAGGCAAATCTCTGTGAGTTTGAGACCAGCCTGGTCTACAAGAGCTAGAGCCAGGGCAGCCTCCAAAGTCACAGAGAAACCCTGTCTGGAAAAACCAAAAAGAAATCCTAGCACCAAAGAGGTAGGAGGATTGCTACATTTTTAGCCAGCAGGAGCTACACAGTACAGCAGACCAAAACAGAACAACAAAACCAAACCAGGCATGTTGGTTTAGCCCTTGGTAGGCTGAGGCAGGACGATGTCAAAAGTTGCAAGTCAGATTGTCTCAAAAATCCAAACAATGGGGCTGACCCAAGTTCAATTCCCAGCATCCACATGGTAGGTCACAACTGCCTGTGACTCTAGTTTCAGGGATCTGATGCCCTTCTCTGGCTTCCTAGGACACTGCACACTAGTGGTGGACAACCATACAAGCAGGCAAGCCCTCATACACATAAGATAAAAACAAACACATATTCAAACGTCTGTATTAATAATTAGTTACAGATGACAGGCTTTTAACAGGATCTGAGGCAGATGAAGAGTGTTACACGAAAAATAAAAGGCGCAGAGACTGATATTGGAGTTCAATCTGCAGATCAGGGAAGCAAAGCAGCTGGTCACTAACTCTCACCTCTAGCTCAGGCTGACAGGGCTGTTCCACACACAAGCTCTTCACCAAGTCTCAAACTGCTGCCTCTCTTCGGAGTAGCTGGAGAACGAGTGCCTCTCTGAGACCTTGCTTCTGTCTTATAGAAGTGCAGGATGGGCGGGGCGTTGGTGGCTCACACCTTTAATCCTAGCACTTGGGAGGCGGAGGCAGAGGCAGGTGGATCTCTGTGAGTTCGAGGCCAGCCTGGTCTCCAGAGCGAGTGCCAGGATAGGCTCCAAAGCTACACAGAGAAACCCTGTCTCGAAAAACCCAAAGGAAAAAAAAAAAGTGTAGAATGCTCCTGAGCCTATGCTATCACGTGTCTACACAGTTATGGCTGTTCCTCCTGCTGCCCCCCCCCCACCCCGCCCCCAAGGTCTGGGCCTGGCAACTACCTACAACAGAATCACAAACCTTCCACAGGCCACCTTGGTGGATCCTGTTTCACTCAGCTGGTACAGGTACTGCTGCCAAGCCTGGCAAGATGAATTTGGTCCCCAGCATCCCCACGGAAAGAGGGAATGAACTCCGCAAGCCTTTGTACACAGGCACATTATACACACAAAGACGTCTAAAAAACTTTCAAAACAGGGCAAGCACGATGGTTCAGCAGGTAGGGACACTGGCTGCCCAGCCTGACAGCCTGGGTTCAATTCCCTGGACCCTCAACGGTGGAAGGAGAACCGCTTCCTGCAAGCAGTCCTCTGTACACTGTCGTACAACATCCAAAACGAACTAATTTTCGACCACCTTAGACTCCTTCAAGGTCCTCCAGCGTCTACAACCCTCATCACCCATCTCCGAGGCAGGGTTTCACTGGGCTCACTCCCCAGCATCCCCGGCGCCCGGTATACACCAAGCTCCTAATAACCACTTGCTGAGCGAACCAGTGAGGGTCCTGCATCTCTGTGTGGCCCCAGACCCCATCG